GCTTAAACAAAGGTACAATATAGGAAAAAGATAAAAGCAGAAGTTTTGAGTGTAAAGGGCTATGATGAAAGTAGTCTAAAAACTTCCCTACACAGTAGAAACTAACACTTTGATGTTTATAATATAGTACCAGAATAAATGTCCCTAGATATGTACCAAAGTAGCACTAATATTGATAAAGTACCAGAATAAATGTCCCTAGATATGTACCAAAGCAGCCTCAAAATCTGCCATTTAAATTATCATAAATTCCAAATCTACACTTACATAACTAAAAATAAACTTTTTTTTAAAAGACAACATGTTTTTATTTTTTATTCATTTTATTTTTATGCATATAAGAACTGGGGTGCAGGCCAGAGGTTGGGGTTGGTGAGAGGATTCACCAGAGACAGAGTGGGGAATAGAACAGGCAGATTGATTGAAATACACTGCTGAGGGGAGCAGTGGGTGAGACAGGAGAGGTCTGCTATGCCATGTGGGTGAACTCCCTGGCTGGGGATTAAACTCCTGCTGCAGTGTATGCGGATAGCTTCATAGTACTGAGACTTAACCCCTTGCGCCACCAGGGAGGCCCTTAAAAATAAACTTTTATCCTACTTTAATGGGAATAAAATATCCTTTTTAATACATGGTTTTAGTATTGTTGGGGGGAAAGGATGCTCTACACACAGAATGAACTACACACAGATTTTATGGACTCTACCCTCACCCCAGTCTTATAGATAAAAAATGTTATCATTATCCTCGCTGATTTTAACAACTCTCTTCTTTGACCACCTAAAGCCAAACCAGCCCGTGAATACTTAATGGAAATGCCATAAAAGTTGATACAGGAGGTGCAGGGGTTAAAGACACAGCACTATCAAGCTATCGCCAGTCACTGCAGCACCAGGGAGCCAACCCACATGGAAAAGCGGACCTCTCCAGTCTAGCCTGTTGTTACCCTTAGCAGTGTATTTCAGTAGATTTGCCTATTCTGCTCCCCACTCTATCTATAGTGAATCATCTCACTCCCACCACTGTACCTCTGGCCTACACCCCAGTTCTTTCATGCAAAAATAAATAAATTTTTTTTAAACAATAAAATTTCTTTTTAACAGAGGACCACATTTAAATCTACTGGATTCCTAGGTCAGCCACAGAGTTAAAAGATCCTATTTAATATTAATTTCTGTTAATTATATCAAGTATGTATTTATTTAATTCTGTGATCACACTTTGAGAATGAGGCAGCTATTATTATCCCTCTTTAGCAATGAGAAAATAAAATTTAAAAAAATCAAAGATTCACATTCAAAAGGCCAAGATTATACAATTTACTGCCCATCACCAAACATGTGAATTATATACTATGGCATTGTGACTTTAAAGAAATGTTTGGTAATTTAGATGATCAAAATATTTTCTCATACATATTTGATCTTCAACTGCCCCCTACCTCCCCCAAAGCATTGGCATTTTTAAGTGTTGTTTTGTTAATGAAGGTAACTTTAGAAGACACTAGAGGAAGGAGGAGTTGCCAGGAAAACCAACTAGAATAGAGGGTAAAATTTTCAGTCCCATCCCCCTGACTTCCTGGAGTGAGTTCAAAGATTTAATCAGTCTTGCCAATGTAATAAGACCCTCATTAAAGTCCAGAAAGAGGGATTTCAGGGAGCTTCCAGGGTGGTGAACACGTGAAGATCTGGGGACACTGGCAGAGAAGTTCTGGAGAAGGCAGAGAAGTTCTGTGCCTTCCCCCCCATATCAGGTCCTACTCATCTATTCAATCTGGCTATTGATAGATATCGTTTGTAATAAATTGATGATCTAGTGAGTGAATGGATTTCCTGAGCTCTGTGTACCTTTCAAAGCTGAGATGAGTGTTCTGGGAATCTCTGATTTATAGCTGTTGGATCAAAAGTACAGATAATGATCTGAACTTTAAATCTGAAGAAGGGGTTATGCAGACCTCTGATCTATACCTGGCTGGTCAGAAACCTGGCAATTGTGGCAGGAGGCTTATGGCAGGAGTCTGAAGTAAAAAGGGGGCATCTTAGAAGACTGAGTCCTGAACTTGTGGAATTTCACATTGCGTCTGGGTAGGTAGTGTTAGAATTGAACTGAAGTCTCAGACACCTTCATAAATTCAATAGTTGTTTGCTGGTGTGAGGAGGCTTACCCAGATACCCTACAAGGAATTGGGTCTCTGGATACCAACAGTAGGCATACACAAAGCCAGCATCTGGCAAGATGGTAGGGAATGTAAAGGAAAAAGCAAAGAGAGAGAATGAGTGAAAGCTGTATTAAGTTGGAACTTAATTCGGATTCAGATCTGTGGTTCATGAAAAATCACAAAAACAATGCTATAAAAGGTAACTGCAGTTGCTGCTGAGCATGACTTAGGTGAGGTATCTTGAGATCAGTTCAACAAATTTAACTTATTTTACGCCATAATGTTATATATTGTTTCAAGATAAGAAGGAACAAAATTCTAAAGGGATAAACAGATGGCAGGTTTAAATATTGTTTTATTAATGCTTATTTTCCAGAGATTCAAAATACTCAATTTTCACAGTATTCGAAAAGGCATAATGGTATAAATATTCTGTCAATATTTAAAATGTACAGGAGGACATGAACCAGTAATATGTACAAATGAAAATCACGGTGCTCGTAAAATAGTTAACAATATTTATGAGTAATACTCTTTCATGAAACATTCTTCTATTCTCTTTCCAGTACAAAACAAAAAAAAACCTCTAATACTTTATTTCTTCCCTTCTTTCTTTATGGTCCCTCTCAACCTCCCTGCATCCTAATAGAATGAGCAAGACTGCTCAACCATGTTTTTAAATAAATCATAATTGGGCAAAGTTTCCCATGGATGGTATCAAGCTCGAAATTGTCAACTATCGAGAGATAAGATGGGCATTAGCAATTTATCACTCCTAGTAAACATACCTTTCATTCAATTAGAGGCTTTCACAGAACCAGGTACTGGCAGACCTAGAACATACTAACCAATTTTTCTTTCTTGGAATGGTGTTCCCTTAAATTATATTTTTATAGAAATTTAGTGATCAAGGTCTCCAGTAAATGGCTTTCCTCATTTTCCTGAATGGCTCCAGTTCCCTCAAAAAGCCAACAGACACTGAAATGGCCATAAGGCGCTGGTTACCTCTACATGAGTTTCAGTATTCTGTTACTTTAAGTTCATTTTACTTTCTCAGACTCTTCTCAATCCTCAGTATAACTTAAGTGTCTTTTTTCTGCATACACTAATGTGTCTTTGAAACTCAACATAAAGCAAAAACGTAATAACCTTTGGTTTCAACAAAGTCTAAAATTTTCTGAGAAGCAGACTAATATAATACAACTGCTTTCCAGATACTAGTACTTATCAAATCAGGGTATTTGTTGATTTTGGAATTGGCTTTTTATTAAAATAAGCAGTTTTAAACATCTAAAAATGCAAAAGCAAAGTTGTCTCTATCTAGCAATTCCACTTCTGTGTATATACCCAAAAGAATTGAGAGCAGAGTTTTAAGAGATACTTGCACAGCACAGCAACATTATCTACAAGAGCCAAAAGATTGAAGCAACCCAAGTGTCCAGCAAAAGGTGACCGGAAAAATAAATACGGTATATTATACTCAATGAATTATTAATATTATTCAGCCTTAAAAAAGAAGATTCTGACAACCTATAATATGAATGACTATCAAGGATATTATTATTATTTTTTTTTTAATAGAGGCATGTTTTATTTATTTATTTATTATTTATTTGTTTGTTTGTTTTTTGTTTACACATGCACTGGGTACAGTCAGAAGCACGGGAGGGTGAGAGAATTCACCAGAGCCAGAGCGGGGAGCAGAGCAGGCAGAAGGACCGAAGCACACTGCTGAGGGGAGCAGCGGGCAGCAGGAGAGGTCTGCGCGCCATGTGGGACCCTCCTCCGGTGGCCGGGGAGCAGCCGGGGATCGAACCGGCACCGCAGAGGCCGCGGGCAGCTTCGCAACCCAGCGCTCAACCGCTGCGCCACCGGGGAGGCCCTATCAAGGATATTATAATCAGTGAAAGAAACCAATCACAAAAGGACAAATAATGTATGATTCCACTTCTATGTGATACCTAGAAGAGTTAAGTACATACAGAGGATAGTGGTTGTCAGGGGTTGGGCTCCCTGGCAGAGGGGGAATGGGGAGTTGCTGTTTAACAGTTACAGAATTATTAGTTTTACAAGAAGAGTTCTAGAGATTAGCTGCACAATAATGTCAATGTACTTAACACTACTAAACTGTATGCATTAAAAATGTTTAAGATGGTAAATTTTGTTATGTGTGTTATCTCCCAAAGCTAAATGCTAGGGTTGAAAGTCCTTTTAGTTTTGAACTACCACATTATCCAGCATTTCAACATTTGGCAGGATGAGAAGTCAAGCAAGACAAATAGCTCTTTTTGAGTACCTTAGATGCTGCTCAATGACAGGTGTGTTATCCAAAATAATTAGCTTATAAAAAGAAATATCCTAAACTCGCCTCTGGAACTGGTTAGTGAGCTAAGTTTCCCTTCATTAAGTTCTTGACAGCTCACTAGCCCCCACATCTGTCATTGTTTGGGAAATTGATTCCAAGAACACAAATTGCTTCAAGGGTTAGGCAACAAATTTATTCTGGTTCATGGGACAGATCTGAATCCATCTGTTTCCTAATCAAAAGCCACATCTGAATCAGTTTTACTCCATCACAGTACCATTCAAAAATGAGCAATACAATCATAAGGTATTTTCCTCCTTTCCTTCCATGTAGTATAGATGATTACTGGAAACACAAACCAATTAAAGGCATGAGACCATGCTCAGAAACAGGGTCATCTATAGCCAACTATAAGGTCTTTTTATTTTTATCTATTTATTTCTCAAACCATCATGACTACATTTCTTCTAAGTGACATGGGTTCGTCTTGGATTTACAAAGGGGGGAAATATTCCCATGCTGTAATGACCAACTTACCTGAGTCTTTTTTTAAGTTGTAAACTGTCATGGATGATCCTTTTAACAAATTCTAATTCACCTCCTTCTGCCATGATCTCTGTGATACCGCCCGTATTTACAGAACTAGGTGGAGGTCTTCGAGGATTTCGAGAGTTTACTCCCTGAACAGCAACAACAAAAAGCTGATGAAAAGTTTTTATACCTTAAATTTTAACCAAGTTTTTGACTGTAATCTAGTTTTAAGTAAGAACACTTAGGTTTAAGTTTACAAATATTATGCTGGATTTAGGATTTAAAAATCATATAACCACTGTAATATTATATTTTAAACAACTGACTTCATGTAAATATTCCTTTCCAGGATTTTTTACCTACCGTTTTTGTGATTAAACATACAAAATTTGCACTTTTTGTATAGTGTAGCTTAAAAATGTCTATCACATTTTCATTATGCCTTCTGACTTGGTATCATGCACAGAAAATATTCCACTCAAAGATTAACTTCATATCAGAAGCATCCTAATTGATACAACTTCCAAAATGAAAGTACTCTTCTCTCTTATCTTTGCAAACTTAAATATTCAATTACTTTAAAGCAAAAGATAATTTTACCTTGGCTTCCAACTGATTCGCAAAAAAGGGAGGGTTACACATACAAAAGTCATAGATTATCTCAGATTCTTCTTTAAGAGCATCCATCAGGAGTGTCTTCTGTGGTACTTTCACCACTAGGAGAAAAAACAGTAACTGAACTAACAGTAAAGCTGTGGCAGTTTTCAAATAGATCCATCAATTCTGTCACATCAGTCATTTCAAGAGGTAGAGTTGTTTATTTTTTTAAGATTTATTTATTTATGCACAGAAGAACTGGGGTGTAGGCCAGGGAGGTGGGGAGTGAAAGAATTCACCAGAGACAGAGGGGGGAGCAGAACAGGTGGATTGACTGAAATACACTGCTTTGGGGAGCAACAGATGAGACAAGAGACATCTGCTATGCCATATATGGGTTGGTTGCCTTGCCAGGGATGGAACTTAGGCCACAGCGTGATAGCTTGATAGCACTGACTTAACCCCTACACCACCAAGGAGGCCCTCAAGAGGTGGAGTTTAATTTCCTCTCCTTGAATATAGGTTACACTCAGTGACTCACTTTTATCAAATAGAATATGATGGAAATGACAGGGTGTCCTAGGTTATAAAAGGTGATATGGCTTCCTCTTTCCCCTTACCTCGTCAATTACCAGTTCAAGGAGAAGCCAGTTGACATGCTGTAAGGATGCTCAAGCAGCGTTGTGGAGAAAAACACATGGCAATGAACTATTTCCTATTAACAGTCATTAAGTACACCATCTTGGAAGCAAATCTATTCTATCATTCAGATGACAGCAACCTTATAAAAGACTGAATCAGGGCCTCCCTGGTGGCACAGGGGGTTAAGACGCAACCTATGAAGCTATCCACAGCCACTGCAGCATCAGTTCGATCCCTGGCCAGGGAGCAACTCACATGGTGCAGCAGACCTCTCCTGACTCACCCGCTGCTCCCATCAGCAGTGTATTTCAAGTCAATCTGCCTGTTCTGCACCCACTCTGTCTCTGGTGAATCCTCTCACACCACATACCTCTGGCCTGTACCCCAGTCTTGTATGCATAAATAAATAAATCTTAAAAAAAAAAAAAAAAAAGTGAATCAGGTTTACAGCAGGTTCACACCCAAATTCCTGACTCACAAAAACTCTTTTAAGATATTGTTTAAAGCTGCAAGATTTTTAAAGTGATTAGCAATATAAGAGTTGATTAACTAAAAAACACATTAACAATACAGAGTACTGATTTTGGAGTTAAAAATAAACCTGAATAGGCAAATTTTAGCAAGCAGACAAATTCATAAATACAGATCCACAAATTATAAATATCGACTGTATTAACCATATTTCAGCAAACCCAACATACCAGATTTTTTAAATTAACAAAGTTTGTATATTAAAGCAAAAGATAACAAGATATACTAAATCAGAAAGATGGTTTAATAAGCAAAGCTTGAAAGGGATATTTATTTTGTAAAGCTAACCTTTTATGAGATCAGATAAGTTATTCTGCTCCACATTTTTCTTTGCATAGTTGAAGCACATATCATCTACTTCAGTAGCAAGAAAATACCAGCCATTTAAGGTTGTTCCAAGTAAAGGATAGATGCAGGATGCTCCAGTACCTAGTAAAATGAAAATTCAGAACAGATTGCATACTCCTGAATAAGAGATGAGAATGAAAAACAAAAATACCATTCCTCTCTTCTCTTACAATTCCTATAATTTCAACAGTTTAAAACACCAGCTGATTATGTACATACACTGTAGCTACTAGATTCTTGAATCATTTCAAGCATGTTAGTCTTATATTATAATTAGATACAATTTTCCTAGAGGATAAAACCTTGTTGTCCTCTCCTTTTCTATGTTATTGGCAAAATGAAGTGTGTATAACTGACTGGTGATCAACTAATATAGGACTGATTACCTGAAAATTGTTAAAACTCAATTTACTTTACATAAAATTTTTGAGGTTTTACCAAAAAAAATGATTCTCTTAATATAAATCAATGCTATGTGTTAAAACACCACAATAATAATCTTCAAGTAGATCAACATACCATCCCATTCAGCAAAAGCAGAAATACATAGGACATAAAATTTTCATATTAAAATACCCAATTCCCCACATATCTGCAATTTGGTACTTGAAATCAGGCTTTTAAAAATATGAAAGAGAGAATTCATTTCTTATATATACATATATATGGATATGCCAGGTTGTCGGAAAAGTCATGACGTAGCTTTTCTTTGAAAAACAGAAAAAATGCATCATGACTTTTCCAACAACCCAGTATGTGGAGAGACATGGAAAGATACTTGATCTAAAACACCAGTCACAGGCTTACCGTACCATAGTATCAAGGAAGACATTCAGAGGTAGATGCTCTAGGCAAAAATCACTTTTTTGACAACTAGGATTTAGTCCTAACCTATACAATAATCACAATTGGTGCTTTCATGACTACTGACTAATCCTTGTCAAAAAGATCTGAAAGAGCACAGTCAAGAGAAAAAAAGGCAGTGTTTCTCCCAAAGGCCTGTAACAGCCACCCTGTGCCAGGCACTCCAGGCCAGCTTTCCCTTGACCACATCTTGGTGCCAGTCTAGCCTTCTAAGGATCTGGCAGGAAGAGATGAAGGCTAGAGATACTTCTAACCCAGAGAAAACCCAGGATCATTTTACTACTTGCTTATCAAGTATTATTAATTAGGCTAGAAAAAGACACAACAACTGATGACCAGAACATTTAAGCTTCCTGACAGTCATGGTAATTGTTACCTTTCCTATCAATGTTTTTACCTAACAGCATCTTGGCCATGATGCTGCTAGACAAAAGCTCCTTGGGGATGTGTGGGGTGATGAGGGAAGGGTACTCAAACTCCTCTCAGAAGTCACAATTATTTAGTCCCTGCTAGTTATTTTGGTAAATGAGAGTTATTCAAAATAAGAAAATTTAAGTAGTATTTTCAGTCCTGTGGGGAAAAAAAATCTGGACCAGACACCAGGCCCTTCTTGATTCTCATGTGTCTCTCTCTCTCCATACTTCAATTTCACTTAAAATGAAAAAAGTACACTTTCCTTCAGATGCACAAAGATTAGGTAGCTCCAGTGTATTTCTGCAAGAAAATCAAATTTCTCAATTCTTATGACCTTTACATTCTAACAACCTAATCCCCTCAGAAAGTTGAATGATATTTTTAAGTGGGTAATAATCTTTGAAATGATAAATAAAAATGGAAAGAGTATAATCATAGAATTAGAGCAAACTGATGGAGTCTGGGGGAAGAATTTATATAAAACCCTAATTAGAATGAATGTGATTTCAGCAAGAATGCCCCTTGTGAAGAGCTAAAATCCATTAACCTCCTATATCCCCAAGTGTTATTTTAGAAGGTGTGGGGCATAATTAAAATAAATTAGCACTAACTAGATTCTCAAGCTTTTTTATATAACCCATCAATCAGTCAATCTTCTGCCATGAACATAAAAAGGCAAAAGCTTTTAAGCCCCATTATTTGTACATTGTCTTTAGCTCATATGGGGGTGTTCAGAATTGTGAATGCTGAAATAATGATGTATGAATTGTGAATGCTGAAATAATGATGTATGTATCTATCAACATTCAACAAATTTTTTATTGAACATCCATGTGCCTGAAACTTTGCTAGGTCTTGGGATAGTATAGTAAACAAAAAAGTTACACGTTCTGTACTTTGCACTCTAGTGGCAGAGAAATTCATTAAATCACCCAGAAGAGTGAATGTGTGGTTATAAACTTAAAAAAAAAAAAATGACATGAAGTAAGAAATATGGCTTTCTAAAGTTCACAAGAAAAGGAACTTAATCTCTCAAGAAAAAAAAAGCTTTCTTGAGAAAATAAGAATAGTGCTGATAATTACAGTATAAGTGAGAAAGATGAAAATAGTAAAGTTCAAGGCAGAGGGAACATGTACAAAGGTCTGGAATCAAGATACGTGATTAGAACTGAAGATAAGTACAGAAAACAAGGAAGAGAAGCACATAAGATGAAGCTTAAAGATACCTAGAGAAGGGCCTCCCCTGGTGGCGCAGCGGTTGAGCGCTGGGCTGCGAAGCTGCCAGCAGCCTCTACAGCTCCAGTTCGATCCCCGGCCACCGGCAAGGGTCCCACATGGTGTGCAGACCTCTCCTGCCGCCCGCTGCTCCCCTCAGCAGTGTACTTTGGTCCTTCTGCCAGTTCTGCTCCCCGCTCTGGCTCTGGCTCTGGTAAATTCTCTCATCCTCCCGCGATTCTGACTGTACCCAGTGCTTGTATAAATAAATAAATAAATAAATCTTTAAAAAAAAAAAAAAAAGATACCTAGAGAAGAGGGCAGGGATCAGACAATGGAAATTCTATTTGGCCAAGTGAAGGTTTTGGCTTTTGTTGTAGAACAAATAAATCATTATAGTAAAGATGCTATCAGAAATGGACTTATATATACACCTTCTAGAAAATGGAACAAAAGCAATAGAGTGGATTAGAACAGAGTAGCTGAGAAGCTATTCTGTAGACCAGGAGAGATGATAGTGACTTGGACTGAGATGGTGACAGTGGCAATGGAGAGAAGTAGATGGCTTAAGAAATATTTGAGAGAGAAAAATCAACGGGAAATGGTAATAGACCTTCTCAGTGAGAATGGGGAGAAGTAATTATCAAAAATGACAGAGTGGCCTGTGGTAGCTTTACTGAAATAAGTAACAAAGGAAGAGAACCAAAATTAGGAAGAAAGGTGATGAAACTGGACTTAGATCTGGCAAAGTGTGAGATTTTTTTTTTAATTTTTTTTTTTTTTTTTAAGATTTTACTTATACAAGTACTGGGTACAGTCAGAAGCACGGGAGGGTGAGAGAATTCACCAGAGGCAGAGCGGAGAGCAAAGCAGAGCAGGCAGACTGACGAAGTACACTGCTGAGGGGAGCAGCAAGTGGCAGGAGAGTCTGCACGCCATGTGGGACCCTCGCCCGGAGGCTGGGGATTGAATCGGTGTTGCAGAAGCTGTGGGCAGCTTCGCAACCCAGTGCTCAACCTCTGCACCACTGGGGAGGCCCGTGAGATGTTTTTTAGATAGCCAAATTTCTATACATATGGGACTAGAACTAAAGAAAAATAATCTGAAGTAAAAGATTAAATAAGTGTGTAGTATTTGATTGCAGGTGGAAAATAGTCATAGATGTGGATGAAATTGCCTAAAAGTAGGGAGTTAAATAAGAAAGGGTCTAAAGACTACACTTTACAGATTCTCAATGTTGTTCCAATGGCCACATACAGAAATAATAAGTCGAAAAGGGGAAAAAGAGGCACTAGAAATGATAAAGGAATACCAGAGGAATCTGTTATCATGGAAACAAAAGAGTGCCTAGAGGAAAAAGAAAGGGATCAATAAATACTACTGAAAAGATAATACAATGAGGACTAAAACTGCACGCAAATGTAAAAGTTAAAATTCTACTTATCTAGAGATTTTGTTTCCTAATAATGGTACTTAGAAATAGACTCAAAGAGGGCCTCCCTGGTGGCACAAGGGGTTAGGACGCAACCTATGAAGCTATCACAGCCTCTGCAGCAGGAGTTCGATCCCCAGCCGGCCAGGGAGCAACCCACATGGCGCAGCAGAACTCTCCAGTCTCGCTGCTCCCCTCAGCAGTGTACTTCAGTAGTCTGCCTGTTCTGTTCCCGACTGTCTCTCCCCCCCCACACCTCTGGCCTGTACCCCAGTTCTTGGATGCATAAATAAACAAATCTCTGGGAAAAAAAAGACTCAGAGCTTTCCCCTGCCCTCCATAAAGGACTAGTAAAGACCAAAAGATTGAAAAACTGTTTTAACCCTATTAAACGAAAACCTAGGCTTATATTTGTAATTATAAAACATACCCTGGCTTCATTTCCTTCTATATCTGTGACTTACTCTCTCTCAAATGAACCAATATGGAGTCTTTTCCATTATAGAAGTTTACAATTAAGAGAACATTATTTTTTTTCCAATCCCTCCTTATTTATTTTTTTTATTTTTATTATTTAATTTTATATATTTTTTACATCACTTTTCATTTTTGCACAATGTATGCATTTTCATCTTGGTTATAGTCCCATACAATTCCCACCACCCTTGTTTTGATCCTACTCCCTCCCCCGTCCCTCCCCCAGTGTATCTCTGGTTTATAGTTGTTTGTTGATTTTCATTTTTACTTTATTATAATTAGTTCTTTTCCTGGTCCCTTATTTAGGTTTTCTAAAATCCTGTTATGAGTGAGACCATCTGGTATTTTTCTTTTTTTTCTGGCTTATTTCGCTGAGCATGATCCCTTCCAGCTCCATCCATGTTGCTGCAAATCACATGAGTTTATCTTTTTTGATTGCTGAGTAACATTCCATTGTGTATATATACCACATCTTCTAGATCCAGTCATTTATTTTTGGGCATTTGGGTTGTTTCCATAGCTTAGCTATTGTAAATAGTGCTGCTGTAAACATAGGGGTGCGGGTGCCCTTTTGAATTAATGTTTGTGTTCTTTGGGTAAATACCTAGGAGTGAAATTGCGGGATCATATGGAAGCTCCATCTTTAGCAGGTTGAGTAATCTTCACACAGCTTTCCATAGTGGCTGGACCAGTTTGCACTCCCACCAGCAGTGCAGGAGAGTTCACCAACATTTGTTGTTGCTAGTTTTTTTAATATGTACCATTCTCACTGGTGTAAGATGTATCATATCATTGTAGTTTTGATTTGCATTTCCCTGATTACAAGTGATGTTGAACATTTTTTTTTAATAGAGGCATGTTTTTATTTATTTATTTGTTTGTTTGTTTGTTTTTTTTTGTTTGTTTATGCATGCACTGGGTACAGTCAGAAGCGCGGGAGGGTGAAAGAATTCACCAGAGCCAGAGCGGGGAGCAGAGCAGGCAGAAGGACCGAAGCACACTGCTGAGGGGAGCAGCGGGCGGCAGGAGAGGTCTGCGCGCCATGTGGGACCCTCCTCCGGTGGCCGGGGAGCAGCCGGGGATAGAACCGGCGCCACAGAGGCCGCGGGCAGCTTCGCAACCCAGCGCTCTACCGCTGCGCCACCGGGGAGGCCCGATGTTGAACATTTTTTCATATGCCTGTTGACCATTTGCATTAAAGATCATTATTTTAATGCAATGACTTCTTTCGTTTAATTTTGGATTAAATACCTTCTACAAATAATCATCCAGGAGACTCCTCAAAGTATTCAGGGCCCATGTGATCTTTTATTAAATGACTATCACCAAAAAAACTCAATGTGGACTATGGTACTATACTAATAAAATTAATCAGAGTAAAAATAATACCCACTAGGAAAAGATTATCAACATGGTAATCTGAAAAACAAAGTAAATAAGAGCCTCACTTTCATTCTGTACTTCTCTTAACCCTTTGCTTCTTGTGTGATTCTGCAATCCCTTCTCAAGAGAAATCAATGACAGAAAAGGTCAGGTATAGCACATAAGAACAGTAATATCTGTAACCAATTTCTTTCATACAACAAATACCCAGAAGAGATGTTTACAATGAATTTGACCTTGTAAAATTTATGAAATTTATTTTTAGCCTAAAGAGAATTTAAAACCAAATACCTATGTCAATTCCTCTTCGGAGAGTACTTTTGTCAGAGTCTTGATGACCTATCAGATCTTCTACCCAATGAATATAGTTGAGTCTCAAGGGAACTGTGGGAATTAGCCTCTCCAACGGAATATCAATTGAAAGTCCAAAATCTTCCCTTAGGAGAGTACAAGTTAGAGCTCTCACTGCTTCAGGGTCTTTAAAATTAAGACTGGGGGTGGAAAAAAAAAAAGAAGTAAAACCAATTAGTAAGACTTGCTATGCTGTACGGCAATTAGGCAATACCATACATTCATTTTATTTTTCTAGGAAATCACACATAGAGAATTAGGTAAAGCATTTGCATATATAGAAAGATGTTAAACATAGTAACAGTACATTTGAGGCAGTGTTGAGTTTCCATCAAAACATTTAGTAGATGATTTAAGTATGGAACAGAAAGGACAAGAATGTCTCTGGTCCAATTACTGTTTGATTGTCTCCTAATTTAGTTATGTGACTCTGGGCAAATTAAATAACCTCTGTAACTGCTTCCTCAGCTGCAGAATAGGGATGACAGTTTCTGTATCACAGTCCTATTGTGAGATAATCCGTGAAAAGTAATTAGAATAATATCTAGTACATAGTAACTATTTTACAAATGCTGGCTATTTTTACTATATATTATGATTAACATCATTTGACATTAGCATTCTTTAATAATACTTAAAAGTAGAAAGTACAGTAAAAATGCTTAATAAAGAAAATAGGATAAGATAATGTAACATTACAGAATCAAATTTAAAGTATAAGGATTTTTAGCAGTTTGATGGGGCATAATTTACATTGATAAAATTCACGTGTAATGAATTTTATTTTTAATTTTTAAAGATTTATTTTTATTTATTTGTACATACAAGAACTGGGGTGTAGGCCAGAGGTGTGGGGGGAGGGTTGACAGGATTCACCAGAGACAGAGTGGGGAGCAGGACAGGCAGATCTACCGAAACACACTACTGAGGAGAGCAGTGGGCAAGATAGGAGAGGTCTGCTTTGCCATGTGGGTTAGCTCCCTGGCCAGATATTGAACTCATGCTACAGTGGTTGGTGACAGCTTGATAATGCTGAGACTTAAACCCTTGCACCACCAAGGAGCCTCGCGTGTAATAAATTTTAAAAACATAGAACATTCACCTGTAAGTATACAATTCAATAGTTATTAGTGTTTAGTATTGTACAACCATACCATCACTATAATTCAATTTCTGAATACTTCTATCATCCCCAAAAAGAAAGCTCATGCACACTTGTAATTCATTCATCTTTGACCCTCAGCTCTAGCCAACCACTAAGGTACTTTTCTGTCTCCATGGATTTGCCTCTGTGGAGATTTCACATAATTGAAATTATCTAATACATGTGGTCTTTGTGTCTGTATTCTTTCACGTAGCACAATATACATGAGGTTTATCAGCAGGGTAGCAGGTATTAGTACTACATTTCTTTTTATAGCTAAATAATATTTCATTGTATGGATTACCACATTGTAGTTTATTATTTGTATAGATAACCACATGTGTGGTTTGTTTATCCAAACCACTTGATGGACATTTAGATTACACCTACTATTTGGCTACTGTGAACAATACTGGTATAAATAGTCTTAAGTGTCTTTCGTATGGATGTTTTTGTTTCTCTTGGATAGAAAGCTAGGAATATATTGTATGATATATTGATATTTAAATTCTTAAGAAACTTGTGCTAATAATTTTTTTAAAGATTTATTTATTTATTTATACAAGCACTTGGTACAGTCAGCAGCTCGGGAGGGTGAGAGAATTCACCAGAGCCAGAGAGGGGAGCAGAGCAGGCAGAATGACCCAAGCACACTGCTGAGGGGAGCAGCGGGCGGCAGGAGAGGTCTGTGCGCCATGTGGGACCCTCCTCTGGTGGCCGGGGGACAGCCGGGGATCAAACCAGTGCTGCAGAAGCTGCGGGCAGCTTTGCAACCCAGCGCTCAACCGCTGCGCCACTAATATAATTATTTTGATGTTAAAATGCTGCTAAACTGAAAACCTTAAAAAGAAACCCAACCAGTAATATTCATAATAGGGGTAATGAAAAAAGTGGATAAAACAGTAGATGGGACTAGACTATAAAAGATAAAGAAGAGCTTTGAAATTGCTCAGAATTCTGGTCCAAAGTTATACAATCACAGAGCTGGCTATCCTTAAACAACTTCTGATCTGCCCCATCTTCTTTTCTGTTCCCTTTCTGGTCATCAAATGAACAACCATGATTTTGAAAATCTCAATGCCCAGATGCTAGTGTTTCCAAGACAGAAGAAGAACATGCTCTCCACCTGGCTATCATGGAAACTTCAGGGAGATATCATGGATCCAACTCCTCCATTACCCAATAAGAGAGTTCAGAAACCCAGACTCTAACCTTGAGTCTGCAATCAACTAGCCATGGACTTAAGTTATTTTAGTTCTTAGATCTGCTTCTCAATCTATGAAATTAAGGAACTGAACACAATAATCTGAAGACTGAATAACCAAACAACAGCAAACATTTCCATTATCCTCCCGTCTTAACCCTTAACTAATTCTTTATTCTTCTGCTACTTAAGCAAACATTGGATACACATTAAGAAATATACAACCAGGCTAGATGACATGACCCTGTTTAAAAAAATTGTTTAGAAAAACACAACTTTAATAGTAATTGTGAAGAGTCCTGATGGGCTGAATTAGCTTTTCAGGAATATGAATGTTGTTGTCTACACAAAAACTGCACTCTATACTTGAATATAACTGTTTCTTATGACCAGTAAGAATGCGTTGGGAGTTAATTTATAGGGGAAAAGTAGAGGAGATTAAGAGCAAAGCTTAGGGCCTCCCCGGTGGCGCAGCGGTTGAGCGCTGGGTTGCGAAGCTGCCCACAGCCTTTGCAGCGCCGGTTTGATCCCTGGCTGCTCCCTGGCCACTGGAGGAGGGTCCCACATGGCGCGCAGACCTCTCCTGCCGCCCGCTGCTCCCCTCAGCAGTGTACTTCGGTCCTTCTGCCTGCTCTGCTCCCTACTCTGGCTCTGGTGAATTCTCTCACCCTCCTGTGCTTCTGACTGTACCCAGTGCTTGTATAAATCAATCAATCAATCTTGTATAAATAAATCTTTAAAAAAAAAAGAGCAAAGCTTAGACATACAGTACACAGAAAGAGAATGAATCTGGGAGACAGAATAAGCGCTTAGAAGCAATGATATTCTCATAGCAATAAGCATACCTAATGTTCCAGATTTTGGTTTCCAAACATTACTCTTCACTAAAAGGAATAAATTGGGATTTATCCTTGGATAAATGGCTATTCCAGCTTAGAAAAGGGAAAGTACAAGATGAGCCTGGAACATTTTGTTATATCAGAAAATTAGACATTCTCAAAGAAAGATGAGGACAAGTCAAAAGCACACAGACCAGTTTAAAGAGGCTCCTGTTGGATAAACCTGGGACAATTTGAATGAAGAATATTAGTGGGCCTCTCCGGTGGCACAAGGTGTTAAGCACCGCACTATGAAGCAATCCGCAGCCTCTGTAGCACAAGTTTGATCCCCAGCCGGCCAGGGAGAAACCCACAAGGCACAGCAGACCTCTCCCGTCTCGCCCGCTGCTCCCCTCGGCAGTGTATTTCAGTCAGTCTGCCTGTTATGTTCCCCACTCTGTCTCTGGTGAGTCCTCTCACCCCCCACATCGCTGGCCTGTACCCCAGCTCTTGTATGCATAAATAAAATATATCTTTAAAAATATATATTAGCAAGGGATTATAGTCCATAGAATAAAAGAACAATATATGAGTCCATACTTAAATAAATAAATGTCATTATTTAGAATGACAAATGTAGAAGTGACTAAGGAAATTATAAGTGGCAATCATCATGCTCATAATTGTTTCAATTTAAGAATCATAAATGCTGGGCCTCCCTTGGTGGTGCAGCAGTTGAGCACTGGGCTGCAAAGCTGCCGACAGCCTCTGGAGCGCCGGTTCAATCCCCGGCTGCCAGTGAGGGTCCCACATGGCGCGACAGACCTCTCCTGTCTCGCCCACTGCTCCCTCAGCAGTGTATTTCGTCAGTCTGCCTGTTCAGCTCCCCACTCTGACTCTGGTGAATTCTCTCACCCTCCCGCACCTCTGACTGTACCCAGTGCTTGTATAAATAAATCTTAAAAAAAAAATCATAAATGCTGAAAGTAGTGGGTGAAAGTTTGATAAGAAACAGGTTATTTACATAGTCACAAAGTATTTCTCTACAAGGTATCAATTATAAAGGAAAAAAAAACAGTAAAAAAAGACATTTGATAGATACCACCTTAACCACTCACTGAATGATCAAAGTTAACAAACTGACATCATATGCTTCAGTGATACTAAGAATGACAAAACTAGACAATGAAAACAAGACTTTAAAAAAAGCATGCAAGGGTCTCCCTGGTGGCGCAAGGGGTAAGATGCAACCTATGTATCTGTGAGGGGTAAGACGCAACCTATGAATCTATCCCCAGCCAGAAGCAGAAGTTCAATCCCCAGCCAGGCAGCTACCTACATGGCGCTGCAGACCTCTACTGACTCTCTGATTGCTCCCCTTTCCCCCGACACACTTGTGGACTATACCCCAGTTCTTATATGTGTAAATAAATCTTTTTTTTTTTTTTTAAAGAGGCCTCCCTAGTGGTGCAAGGGGTTGAGCACCACACTATGAAGCAAGCTGCAGCCTCTGCAGCACGAGTTCGATCCCCGGCCGGCTAGGGAGCAACCCACATGGCGCAGCAGACCTCTCCTGTCTCACCCGCTGCTCCCCTCAGCAGTGTATTTCAGTCAGTCTGCCTGTTCTGTTCCCCATTCTGTCTCTGGTGAATCCTCTCACCCCCGCATCTCTGACCTGTACCCCAACTCTTGCATGCATAAATAAATAAAATCTTTTTTTTTTAAAGATCATTTGTTTATTTATTTATTTAAGGTTTTTTTTTTTTTTTTTTTTTTAAATTTATACAAGCACTGGGTACAGTCAGAAGCGCGGGAGGGTGAGCGAATTCACCAGAGCCAGAGCGGGGAGCAGAGCAGGCAGAAGGACCGAAGTACACTGCTGAGGGGAGCAGCGGGCGGCAGGAGAGGTCTGCGCGCCATGTGGGACCCTCCTCTGGTGGCTGGGGAGCAGCCGGGGATCGAACCGGCGCTGCA